GGTGGATGCATCACGGATGAAGTGTCAGCTCGCATACAGAAGGCTCGGTTAGCATTTGCCAACTTGAGACATTTGTGGCGCCGTCGCGACACCCGGCTGTCTGTGAGGGGTCGAGTGTATGCCACGACAGTTCGGCCAGTTCTGCTATATGGAGCAGAAACTTGGTCATCAAGAAAACAGGACAAAGAGAGGCTGTCGGTGTTTGAACACCACTGTCTACGTAGCATAGCACGAGTCTGATGGGGCAGCCGGGCGAGCAATGGTGAAGTCAGACGCAAAGCTTTAGGCAACCGCGGTAGCCCCCTGGAGCAAGTGGTCGACCTCGATAGATGACGTTGGTTGGGGCATGTGTTACGCATATCACTAAATAGGTTACCACGGCGAGCGATGTTTGCCGAGGCAGGTAGTGGGTGGAATAAAGCCAGGATGATCAAGCTCAGACCTGGCATGAGAGTATGAAAACCTTAACCAGGAGTCTGGGTCATATAGGTCCTGTTAGGCTCCCTGTATGGGAACCTCGGGATCGTCGTAATCGATGGTTAGAGACACAGTGATATGGCTGGGTGTCGTAAACAGTGGCATCTTCTCAATCTATCTCTACCATTAGTCCACTGAACTTTTTTCTTCGATCCTACTTTTAACCCTTGTCTTTCTCCTAATGTTCATCCCAATGGGCAGCCAAAAGATAGCTATCAAAACCGGCGCACTGTAGTGCATGATAATGGTTGTACAAACTGAAAACTGAAGTTTAACTAGTCTACGAAGTTAGTGCCATTTTGGTGTTCTCATTTGATCAGCTGGAGTTAAACTGAACCTAACGGATTCAACCTGTAACGAAAGGTATCCAACCAAGCAGTGATAAGACGTTGGCTTTCACTTTGTTTTCGCACCAAATTTCATGAGTATACAGTTATAACATCATCTGTCGGTAACCACGTTCATTTATCGGCAAAGTGTGCGTACTGTTTCCGAAAACTTCCCCATTTGTAGGTGGATGTCTTGGGTGGTGGCTGGAGACCTTCTCTTACAGCTCGCGACATGTTATTATACGATTGAGCGTTTCAATTACTCTCTGCAGGGTAAGTCCTGCTAACCACCTCACGTTGACGGAGGTATCTTTGTGCCAAAGTGAAAAACAGCTTCCGGGGCCATAGCTGTATCGGTGAACCGCTGGCAGTCCATCTAAAAGAGTTGGCTAAAATCCCTGGTTCCAAACCAACAAAGGAGAGATGTACGAGCTGGCCATCAGCTCTCAATGGATTGCGGATTTCACACCGTCTCACAGATTAGATTTTGGCTAGCTGAAGGCTCCGGTTCACTTGCTTTTGCACTGTCTCACCCACTTGAGAAAAATTGACGTTTCTCTGTACCATAAAGGTTATTATACCGTGATTTATTTGGCACAGTCTGGCATATATTTGTTCTCCAGGCCATGGCTCGAATTTGGCGTCCCGGTCAATCTCGTCCGGTTCGTCTCTACCGGTTAGTCACATGTGGGGGCCTTGAAGAACGCATGTTTCAACGGCAGGCGGCCAAACTTGCTTTGTCGCACAGCACGTTAGATGCCCCATGGGATGAATCACCGTCATTGTCTGATGCGAACACGATGAAACGCTCGGGTGTTTTGACTCGAGAAGAATTGCGCGTGAGTGATATTACAGGTCTTGTTTTTCCTGTTTGATGTCTGCTGCCGTGATTGTATGAGATGCGCGTTTGCCACGCACAATCTTCTGTTCATATGTGCCTGGTTTTTCGGTTGACTAATGGTCCACTGTCCCCTGAATTCACACTGTTGAAACAACATAATTGGATCTAGTGGATGTCGGATACATGCAATTTCAGTGGGATGCCGTTTCTGGCCATCTATCTTTGTCACTAATGCGATGCACGTTCATTCATTCATTCAGTTAGACAGCCATCGCTTGTTGACAAATATTATCGGTATGCTCAGTTCTGCTGATGCTGAGGGAAACCACCACTTAGGTTTACTTTGGTGCTCATGACTTTCGTCACCTTCAAAATCGTTATGCATAATTGCTCTAATCTTTTTAGCACTTTAGAGAATGCGACATGGCTTATGCACCCCAATCAAATCGCGATTTTAGCGACGATGCAAGTCGTCCTGAATCGTGAATGAATCAACGTGGGATGCCAATGGCACGAGTGACAACAAAAAAACAACGATGTACTTCAGGTATTTTTTCAGTTTTATTTTTGTACAGTTATTTCGTCATATTTATCCTTCAACAGTGTCCCCCAAATAAGGTAACCCAAACGGCACGGTTAAAGTACAAAGCGAATGCTTTTATGTGAAACTGCCGGCACATCGGGTGACCTCAAGCAGATCGGAATTCGAGTGCAGAGCAGGTCACCGTGATCCACTTTCGGTTCTCGGTCCACCAAAGTGGAATCTCATGCCAATCGATCGGTTCAATTTTGTTTTTGTACTGCATAATGTATTTGAAGTGTATTTAAAATATTTTCTGCCCCGCTTGCCTCCTGCACTCAGGGGGTTACGTGAGATTAACAATTTACCAGTCACTGTCACTGTTCTGACCGCTTGTTCACGCCCCCGCCCCGCCCCAGAATGACTACCCGATCTGTGCTTGTAATTATAATGTATGGTGCAGTGCCTTTTACATCAGTTGTCATTGTCAAGCATAGTTCTGATTCGAACTAACCGTTTGGAATCCGAAAACTCATTGTAGTGTACGAGAGAAAATAGAGGTCTCATTCTCTAGAGCTAATTCTTATTTATTCCTGGCTAAGTACCTACGGGGATAGATCATTTGATTTTGACTAACCACCGTGATCGCAAAGTGCTTTATTGATTCGTGGTTAATTACTCTACAAATTGCATTAACCAACCTGGGATGACAATTTTAAATTTTCCGGTCAACCCCATTGGGTGTGGCTTAAAAACTAGGAGAAAGAGATAAAAGGGGAAAGGTAATGGATGAAGTATAAGAGGCTGATGTGAAGCGTCTCACACCAAATAACGGGCGTGACCAGATTAAAATTAGCGCTGCATGTCGATGTGTACCGGAACGACAAACTGGTTACTTAGCCCACCTCCTCTTTGCGGGCAACGCGAGCCTTCATTTTCGGTCTGGTGTTGTGCCAGTAAGATACCAGTCCATTTTGGTCGGTGAAATGAAACTTTTTTCATCACTTGGAAGCAGTCTGCGAGATTTTTCACTCCGTCTAATGGGGTGGGCACTCTGTGTTCTGCATTCTTAGCTGTGTATAATTCTAAGTGGTCTATTTATGATCTTTCTCTGCACCTTATTCACATCGCTTTGAAATAACCGGTTTGCTGTTTTGATACACACGGAGGTGCAGCTTTCGTTTTAACCTGGTCACACTCGTTATCTGATATGAGTCGGTTCAAATCAGCCTTTTACTCCTTCTCCAATCACTTTTCCCATATCTCTCTGCTGAGTTTTAAGCCACATCCAGGGGGATTGGCCAGAAAACGAGTAGTTTTCGTTCCAGATCCGTTAATTTTGATCACAGGATTTCGCCGAGAGGAATGAACCACGAGTCTAAATTAACTCCACCAGGATGGACGCTTAGTGAACAGCGTTGCTGAAGGTTCACCAGACACTACCCCCGACCTTGACCCCAGTAGGCAGTATCGAAAACAACTTTTGTTTGCTCACATGGTAGTCGGTTTTCCGCTGCGCCCAAGGTGACACCTCTAACTTTTCAGAACTCCAAAACACTTCTTTTCATACGATTACGGCAAAGTGCGAATTGGAACTAGTTATGTATTCCGTACTAACGTAACATTTGCATTCACCATTTCCAAAAATGAGGAATTCGGGTGAAACGGTTTCGGAAGTATAGACGAAAACATGGTTCGCCCCAAAAACATTTGCGGGTTTACCAAAGTTCAAAACACGCTACGTGTACCAAGTAAACCAGATGAGTCTCTAATAGAACCGCCCTGCATCTCGTGGAAAAATTCATCTCTAAAATGTTCTGTAACAGTAAGGTGGACTTCATTTATGTCATGTTCATGTAACCACACGCATTTCATTTCAAACAGATGTGGATTCCCCCTGAGAACCATTACATGTCTGCATAGCCGATCCGTTCACATTCTCACTGCAGGTGTTCACTGGAATGAATCCGGGAAGAAGCCTCAAGTGTCAACGGGGTTGCGTTGTCGTTTGTAGATTGACCAAACAGACATTCGAAACGATTAACCAAATGATCCATTCACGGTCTTGTAATGTACAGTGCGAAAGATTTAAACAGTTGAACTGCACCTAATGTTTCTCGCATTACTAGATTTCTCCAGGATTTCTGTCTTGTGGTCAATAGTGTTGTATCAGTCAGTATCTTCTCCTCAATATCGTATGTATATTCACATACCAAAGCTAAGCTTGAGGTACTTTCTTGGTATCACTCCGCGAACATTCGACAAATGTGTTGGCCGCGGTCAAATGTTTGTAGTTCCAACGTGATGTCTGACCTAGATCATACACCTGACACTGGGCATTTATCACGAATATTGATGTTTCTGGCGAGCAGTTCACAAACGGACCTCCGAAACTATCAACCGAGACAAATTTGTAAGATATTTTAGTTCTATGGGGTTTTCCGATTCCTAATCCTGATAATTCGTGTTCAGCGACCTTCTCTTCGCCTAGCATCCGAGTTTCTTACTTTTTCCACGTGTTTACGTAGCCAGCACGAATTGTTAATGATTACGGAGAGCTCGTTCACTTCAAAATTATTCATGGCCGATCCGGGAATAAACTACCAAAATTTATTCGTTGCAGTTCCGACTTCCATTTGTAACCTCCATCTCCACCAACGACGTAAGTGCTGTGATTTTGGTTATTGCAGCATTAAAGAGTCAATCGCATTTTTATGACATTTGCTGGTGGAGTTGTGTAATGTTGGAGAATTCCGGGAACACGATTTTGCACGATACTTTGTCTTCAGCCAATGGTCGAATTTGTCTCCGCTGTGTAATCAAAAAGCTCTTCTCGATTCAGTACAATCTTGTTTTTATCAGTTATTCTTATTCTTACACCTGTGTTATCACATTGGAATAAAACACATTATTCATATCTCTCGCTTTCAGGACTTATTTCAATCTCCCAGTCCGGAATGGGTTTCTTGGACACACGAATTGATTGAATGTTCATGCCAAGAATCTGTTCTCTGTTCCAGTCCATCTTTGTCTACGGATAGTGATGCTCCTGCGGACCCAAACCCCGAAAGCGAAACGATACCAGACGAAGATGAATCTGATGAACGATGGTGTCAACTCGGTCCCACCATCCTTGGCAAAGTGACACAATCAAGCGTGGCACACAAGACCTCGAAATCCGAATCTTTGGCATATCTGCTGAACTGGACGCATAGCTTATCGGAGCGTGCGATCGCAGCTTTAGGCGATCCGCTTTTGATTGCCCCTGTTGTCGATGCAAATTCGAATACTTGGCCTGTTTGTGCAGTTTTCTCAAAAGTCACATAACATTCCTAAGAGTTCTTTCAATATTGTAAATAATCTCCCTAACCAATGGGCGGTATCATTTTGTCTTGAAATGATCATTTCCCGGCAGCTTAGAGGCCAGTGCAATCTCCGTNTCAGTGGCTTCTTGATTAAGTTTTACTCTGTGTTCTAACCCCGTTGCTCACTCCCCCATTTTTCTACCTGGTCGAGTGATTGCGCTCTGTGTTGCATTTGCAATCATCCGATTTAATGAAATTTTATCATTCAGTCGTTTCAATAATGCGAACCTCACATCTGCAATACGTCTCTTCTTTTTCAAGTGATAAAAGAGGTAGACCAGATGGCTGCAGTTCTTCTAAAGATCGTATTTCGTCCTCCTCGTCCAGAGGTAAACAATTTGCCCTAGGAACTGCGGTCGATCTCGTTCAGATCAGTGAAGCCTGTAGGTAATTGATCGTTTAGATAAAGTATTTTTACTTCTTGTTTTAATACGCAGTCGACTTTCAGGAAGAGGGGCGCGGCACTGCATTGACTGCCTGGGGGAGATACAGAACTGAGGAAGATGGGTGGCAGTGATGGGGGGGGGGGTGCGAACTCAGGTCACTGTTTTGATGACTCCATCACTGAACTAACGTTGCTCAGTTTGCAGCATTGATCATCGTTGATCAGATAATTATGAGCGTAATGCTGACAATCCTTCACAACGAGCCCGCACATTGATGTGGTATGATGGCTTGTGCACCTCTGTGACCCAATGAGCTACACAGGATGGCTTTTGTCGAGCCATAGCTCCAATCATGCCTGGCAGATCAATGGGTAGAGGTCAGAAAAAAATCCAGTCTCCTGGGCCTACAGGTTGGGACTTCGACATGAGCTGGNNATCCAAGGTAACGGGCCTCCAATCCGCCTTAACCGCTGCCTTGCGGTTAGCTTCTTGTCAGAACTCTAATCGCTCTCCTGCTTAGTGACTGGACACCCTGGCAGTACCCGTCCATAAAGCTCCAATGAACACACAAGCAAAAGTAATTTCATACCGCATCGGTCGTCGCGCAGGATAATCAAGACCGCGCTGCCCCATTTCATCGAGCGGGGGGGGGGGG